AAACAGATATGTTCTGTGTCAAGATGACTCCTGGTGCATACTGTAGAACGCTCTGGACAACAACTGAAATTCTGCACATGCAGTGCTTTTAGAAGATGATGTGTATGTACATGCTGAAGTGGCCACAAATTTCATGCCCTATTATCCTCCTGCTCGATACTTTTCAAGAACTGTGGCAAAATTTGTTCAGAGGGCAAAACAGTGGACTGGCACAAACTGCCAACATACACAATGTGTACCATACCCCACTGGCCCCAAAGTTTGACAGTACGAGTTAGAGATGTTAAAATATGTTAATACACAGGGGACAAATCCAGCTCTTGCCTGTTTTCCCCTGCCCCCGCTGCTGCCTCGGATACATGCATGAGCATGTGCTGGCTCCCCACGTATATGGGCTCCCGCCTGCCCCCCTCCAGTGCTGGTGCCTTTGTATCTGTGGGAGCTGGCACATGGAGGAAGCCAGCTTAAAAGCCTGCTCCCCCCCTCACACACACACTGCCTCTAACCATGTGGGTTAACCAATGAGCCCAGGTTTATTGGTTAACTATGTAGACGAGTGCACGTTAACATCCCTAGTATGAATCAAAATAAGGAGATGAGCTATGAAGTCACTCAGAGATCACCTTCTTCAACATGCACACCTGGGCTGATTCAATGCGAGTTCCTGAAGACAAACGGAAGTTCAAAGTTTGCTTCCAAAGCAGACTTAGGGAGTGCTTTTGACACTTGTAAATTGTGTCAGACCTCTGACTAAGGTGTGTGTTCAGATAAACAGTCATGCTCCCAGAACTGCTCAAGGGACACTGCATGTTTGCTGGAATAGTTATGGGACAGTTTGTATGGAGGAACACTCATGACTTAGTACTATTTGTCAGCAGCACCTCGTCCTAGAGCTTCTCCTTCTCTGAATAAAAAGGGCAATAAACCACTAGTAGTGTTTTATTGAGAAAGTCTCACTCAGAATTGTCTGAGGTAGTGCAATTAATTACTGACCTCAATCTGACTTTTATTAGGAGCAATGGAGATTTGGAAACATTCAAACACACGATTAGCTTGAGTTTATAGCCACAAAATACCATTGAAATCAAGAGGAGCTTAATAGGAGTTAAAAAGAAAAGATTTAAATATTTATCTGGATTACAGGAACATGCAGAGTTGTCATCACAGATAATCTAATATATAAAGGAGAATGTTCGTAAGTTTGTGTGCTAATAACTTGAACACTATAAGAGCTACCACAACCAAACTTTACATGGGATAACCTTTCATCCAGGAGAAGGTTTTAAGGTAATTTAGGACCCGATCGGGCTCGAGCTCAAGCTACAAAAACAAAAAAGTAACCCGCGGCGCTGCAGGGGCCGCCTCGCCCACCCTAGGTCCCTGTGCCCACCGCCTGCGCTCCCCAGCGCCATCCAGGACTCGCCCCCTCCCACGAGGTTACATAAGCGACCCTCTTCCCTCCTCCCCTCCTCCCCCGCGCTGGCACGCAGTGCCCTGACCCCCTGCGCACAACGGCTTGGGCACCTGCCCTGCCCCTCCCCCCCCCGTGTAACCTCCCCTCCACCCGAGGTTGCAGCCCCTCCCCAGGGATGACGTGGACCTATATTTTAATCCATATAGAAATCAGCACAACTTTCCTACCATTCAAAAAAAGATAACGGTCTACTGTTTTTCTACATTTTGTTCCTCCAGTTTCCCAAGCAACGCCGGGTATCTCCAGCTAGTAAAAAATAAAGCCAATGTTTTTGAAGGGTTATAAACCCTCATGCATCAGAGCACAAACCAGCCTCTATGTAACAGAAATAAGTAGGAAACTCACTTAGTCTAGATGGTAAGTCCCCCAAGTGACACTGCAAGATTTCTTATGTCTTTCTTTGAAGCAGCTGGTGCTGTTCGAGGCCAGAGATATGATACAGGACTGGGTGGCCCTTTGGCATCTGATCCATTAGGGCAATCCCTGTGTTGGTATGGGGTGGTGCAGCTACTCTGCATTCTTGACAAAAGGCCTTGCAAACACAATTTCAAATGAAAAAAATATGAGAGGCATCACCTCAGTCTGTAAACATAACAGGATATGGGAGCAATCACCTGTCAGTGTTCTATTTCATAAAACTCTGTTTCCTCTCCCCGTTATCTTCAACTGCTTCTTCTTCTGGCTCATTTCCCTCTACTTTCAAGCATGTTATTTCCTCTACATTGCAAAAATCAACTTTCCATTACAATTCCTATTCTATTCTGGTTCTAATATCAGACCCATTACTGTGGTATCTATTGCCCATCTCCAAAATACTCATAATATTTATTCACCCTGTAACCTTTGCTTTGATTAACCTCTTCAATCAGGCTCCTATTCCCTTCTTTGCATCAAACAATTGATTACTTCCTTTTACATAAATCTCGGAGTAATTCTAGATTATTTTCCCCTCCCCTTTCCTCAG